TGTTGTGACCCAACCATAAAATTATTTTCGTTGCTACCTCATAACTGTAATGTTGCTACTTTTAGGAATCGTCATGTAAATATCTGATATGCAGGATGGTCTTAGGCGACCCCTGTGAAAGGGTCGTTCGACCCCCAAAGGGGTCGCTACCCACAGGTCGAGAACCGCTGCTTTAGAGCCTACTGCAGTGCCTGGAACAAAGAAAGAGCTCAATAATGCTGCTTATTAATATTCTTATCGTTATTATTTTCTACCAGGGCTGGTAGTAGCCACTCTGCTGGCCCAAGGGTCCCTCAGACCCCAAGCTCCCAGGGCCTTGGCTCCAGGCGCCTCTCCCCGCGCGGCCCCTAGAGGGCGCTCGGAACTCACTTGTCTCTGCGTTGAGGCCCAAGGTCCGGCTCCCACTTTGGGGGGCTGAGTCGCCGCCTCTGACTCCAGCTTTTGGGTCTTGAGACTCCTCCTGCAGGAACCGAAGATTCGTGGGCTCTGGGACCACAGGGTGGAAAACGTGAGGGGCAGGAGCAGCTCCCACGAAAGCCTTAGGGCGACACTTGGCACAGGGGGCCTCGCATCCCCAGGCTCTGCAGCACCTTCTCGCTCCCCCCGGGAGACCGGATTTCCGTAGGCTCGCGGAGGCAGCGGCGGCGCCGGCCTTCTTAGGGTCCGTGGCCAGAATCCAGGGCGGTCCGTGGCCCCAAGCCCAGCCACAAGTTCGTGGGATGTGTGGCCGCCGGAGCTGCGGGACTGGAAGTTAATGCGTCGGCCGAGAAAATCCCCACCCCCAGACCCTCCTCCCTCGGGGATAAGGGAGGAGGAGAGAGAAAGCGGAGGAGGGGTGCCCGCGGAGGGGTGGCCGCGGGTAACCGCGCGCAGGAGCTGGGGGAGAGGGGGCTGCAGGGGTAGGAGTGCGAGCGTACTTGAAAATGCCCGCAGTGGGACTGTGTGCGTGTGTGTACCTAGCTCCGCACACCTGTAGCTCCCCTTGAGTCACGCGGCACACCCCATGCAGAAGGAGGCATGCGAGGTTGTACACAATGCAGGCTGTGAGTGAGGGGGTGTGAGTTGGCACCCACCCCTCACGACAACACCCCTCCCTCCACTCATCTCTCGTCCTCCCCACCCACGAACACACCACCTTCCCAGTCCGCTCCTTGGAAATCCACACTGGCTCCGGCCCTCCCCTCCTTTGCTCAGTCTGTTCCTACCCGACTCCCGGGGTGAGGAATCGGGGCGTGGGTGCAGGTGAGTGGTGCAGAGGCTCCCTGGGCCCATGTGGGCAGCAGATTCGTGCCATTCTGGAAAAGCCCAGGCAGCTCTGGTTAGCTGCCCAGACCGATGCCTGGCTGTGGGGCTCCAAACTCTGAGCTGATTAGGGAGTGCCCGGATGACGAGTTGCCGCCTGGGGGCAGAACTCTGGGGGCGCGTGGGAGTGAGACGTGTGTGAGGGTGAGGAGAGCAGGAGGGAGGGTCCCTCTGGGCAGCCCGGGGACCTCCGCTTCTCCCTTCCCCAGCATGGCTGCCCATTCCCAGCTGCTCCCGCTCTGCACAGCCAGGAGGGAGGGCCCTGCTTAGTGGGCTCATACACCTGGAACCTGTTTCGCCCACCTGCAAGTCACTCGCACCGCAAATGAGGCCCTTCTGAGTCCCGGGCATAGGGCCACACCATACCTGCCGCCGTGGTGGGGGCATCACAAGAGAGGCCAGGCCCACACAGTCCCCAAGCACAGAGCCGCGCACAAAGCCACTATTATAGGTAACAGGTTGAGCCAGATTCTCTGTTGGCCTGGGAGGCCCCGCCGGCTGCTAGGACCCCAGCCCTGCATGGGTTCCTGGGCCTCCACTGAACCTCCCCGCTGGGTGCCCAGCGCTCACTCGTGGGGGATTTGGTCAGTGCAATCGGCTCACTCCAGCCCAGGAAGGAGACAGGCCTCTCCGCCCAGGCAGGTTGGTTCATTTCCCTCCTTTCCCGGCACCTCTACGCACAATGATTCGGATAATTCCTTTTCTGGTTTTGAACAGAGACCGACCACTTCTGGCAGGCGCGTGGCAGCCGGGGTGGAGAACTCTCCGCTGCGGGTAGGTGGCCCTGCCTGTGACCCTCGAAGCCCCTCCCCTCCCGCCTCGGCCCCAGGGACCCGGTGGCAGCCCGGCCTTTCCCGGCTGCCGCGGCTGTAGGCGGCTGATGCGGGATTCGCCAAGATTCGGTCGCAACGAATTCCTGGCAAAGAGTGGAGAGTCTGGCGCGGTTCCTCAGCGCCGAGAGCCCCAGGGCCCCGGGGATCTGGTGCCTCTGGGAGCCTTAGGGCATGTACACGTGGAAGGGAGACCCGGGCCACCAGCGAGTGCAGGGAGCGGAGCGGGGCGCGAGGGTCTGCAGGCTGGATGGTCTGGGCAGCGGGAAGCCGCCTGCGCCCGCAGTAGGCGTGGGTAGGGAGCGGCAGCACTGGGGATCTGGCATGCGGGGTGCCCCCTTTCCTGCAAACTGGACAGGAGCCGCCGAGGGCCACCGGGCTGAGCGGGCTGAGCGGTCTTTCCCCGGCCCGGGCAGGAGTGTGAATCCCAGCTATTTGTGAAAATGAGGAGGGAGGAGGTATTTGGGGGAGGAGGTGCCTTCTGCCTCCTTTTGCTTGCATTTGTCTTGCAAGATGGGTAGAGAGGTGGTGGTGAAGAGCCCGCAGGAGGGTTGTGTTTGGGCCAGGCAGCCGCTCCCCATTTTTGCCCCAGCTCCTCAGTTTGACTGTTGGAAGCCAGAAAATATCCAGGAGCCTCAGGGATATTTTCAGCAGCTTCTTGGAGGGGTGGGGATGGTTCCAAGGACTGCGAGATGGTAGGAAGGCCCCAGTCTCCTCCAGGTCCCCCGACTCTGCCGCTGGGAAGCACGGAAGGTATGTCATAAAGGCCAGAAACGGAGGAGAACTCAGAACGAAAAGTGCAAAAAGTGGGGGCTGGGAAGCTCCAGCACCGGTGAGAGGGGAGGAGACAGCTAGACCTGCCTAGGCAGAAGGAGGCAAATTCTACCCGGTTCCAGGAGGCCATTTCCGGATTTCGCTCAGCCGGGGTACTGGGCGCTGCAGCCACTGCAGGCCAGAGACCCACCGCAGATATCATGACCAACAACACAGTCTGTCAGGGTCTGGCCTTGGTCACCCCCTGGGCCTGTGGGGTGGGAGGAAGAGGCTGGCCTACGATTGATTTTTGGATGCAGAATTCTGTCTTACAGAGAGCCAGCTCCAAGGGGGCCACAGCTGAGGGATGAAGACACATGGTCTATTCCCCACAAAGCCAATTTCCCCTTGGGCCTCCTTAGGTGGGAGGTTGCTATTCTTTGTCCCCATTTCATATGACATGTCCAGGATGGCAGCCTGATCAGGGATGAAGGACAGTGGCTCTCTGATGGCTTCCATGGCTCCCTCAACCCCAGCTCTGCGTGCACAAACATCCCCTTCCTCCCTCCACAGCCTGCAGGTCCTGGCCCCCAGATGTCCCTCAAGCTCAGGCACCAGCAGCTGCCCTGGCAGCACCAGCTCACTTCTAGTTTCTAGCCACCAAGTTCTCTCACTCTTCCACCCCAAAGAAAAAGCCTCCTATCTCCCCACTCCACTCCCCCAGAATGGTATGTTCCCCAGACCCTCCACCACCTGGCTTCATCCACAAAAGCAGGCCCAAGTCAATTTTATACACCTGAGGTTGGCCTAGTGCAGTGATGGCGAACCTATGACACGCGTGTCAGAGGTGACACGCGAACTCATTTTTTTGGTTGATTTTTCTTTGTTAAATGGCATTTAAATATATAAAATAAATATCAAAAATATACATCTTTGTTTTACTATGGTTGCAAATATCAAAACATTTCTATATGTGACACGGCACCAGAGTTAAGTTAGGGTTTTTCCAAATGCTGACGTGCCGAGCTCAAAAGGTTCGCCATCACTAGTCTAGTTGTGTTGGGGGGCGGGGGGCGCTAGATGTATGGAAAGTGTGCACTATGGCTGCTTTCCTGACTGGAGTGATTTGGGGCCTTTCAGAAGGTCCCTGAGAAGTCACTTATTCAGATCCCACCTAGGGCAGGCTAGTGCTGCGAGCTGTGAGGTCCTGGTCAGAGGATCCTGGCCCCCTTACTGACTCAGTGTGTCCTAGTTTCTGCAGCTTGCTGGGTAAGGGCCTAGAACTCCAGAACTCCTAGCAGATGTTGGTACCCCCCACAATGAATCTGCACACCCTACCTTAGACCCCCCTCATCTTGTACGCCACCAGAATACATTTACACCCACTCACCCCCAGTCACTGGCAGGGACAATCACCCACAATGATCCCCACTCCACACTCATTCATTTCCCCAAATATTTACATACTGTTACAAATGATGTATACAGTAAAATATACATCTCACACACAATTACATTTACACAATTACAGATGATACACAAACATTCACACATTTAACACAGAAACAGATTCACAAGGAGAAACTAATATGTACTCTCACAAACATTAACACATGATTCATACGCAATCACAAATACCGGTGGGTAATCATACAATTATCTCTCAAAGCACAGCTCCATTTAAACATAGTTATACACACACACACCACACGTTCGAGTGTATAATGATAGTTTCAATTTGTAACTTAAGCAGAAAGAAGCACACACAATAGCTGCGAACTCAAAAAAATAAAATAATTGCAAACACAATTACACAATTACAAATCAGTGATATTCTGATTGCCCACACCATTCAGAATGCACACGCGCGCGTGCGCGCACACACACACACACACACACACACACACCTCACACTCCAAGACACGATATCCTCTTGAGCACTAGCTGTCCCGGGAAAGCCTTTCTCTCCCTCCTTACCTCAGCTCTGCCTTCTCTCTGTCTGTCCCCCTTCTTCCTTCCTCTCTCCAGAGCCTGCAGGTCCTGGCCCCCAGATATCGCTCAAGCTCAGGCTCCAGAGCTGCCCAGCTAACACCAAACCCAAGTAGCTGCAGGGTGTTGGGCTCAGCAAGGAGCAGGCAGCCCTAACTCCGGATCCGGAGGGTTTTATTATTTTTTTCACATAAATTACACAAGCACTTTATAAAATGGTTGCACAGAAAACACCTTATAAGTGCATAACTTAAACCCCCCCCTATGAACAGGATCTGGAGAAACAGGCTGAGTTTGTGTGAAAGCCTGCCTGTGAGTACCTGGGTGGGGCTAGGATGTGTGATGGAGGTCTGGCAGGCCAAGTGGCACTGTTACCGCTGTTGTGTGTGGAATGGTGTCTCACAGTGTGGCCACAGCCTCGAGTTTATGCGAAGTGCCATGCTGTTCAGAGTAAGTCTAGGTCAACCTGGCCTAGGACAGATAGTGAGAATCAAAGGTAAGAAAGCTATGGCCCGTGTGTGCGGGACATTCTGCCCTAGGTCCCCTGTGTGTGATCTGCGGTGACACCAAGAGGGACGGTGGAATCACCTCTGTGTGGGCCTGTGGGTGTCCTCATCTCTGTGTCTGCCTGTGTGTGTCGGGATGTGATGGTATGTGATGAGGAGTGGGATACAGAGAGAAGGTTCCAACGATAGCCCGATAGCCCGTGCTGTCCTCTGGGGACCCCAGAAGCTCTTCTTCTCCCTCTTCCCCCCCACCTCTCAGTCCCACGTTAAAAATCAGATTAAAATAAAATAGATGCAAACTGAGGCGACTCTCAACAGTTTTAGCGGGCGCAGGACCACGTGGGAGTCAGGGCGTGGGTCGCGGGTCCCTGTGCTCTGCACTCCTTTCTTCTTTTCCACGGAAGAGAGCGCAGTTTCGGCAAGCAGGCAGGCCCCCCGTGGAGGGGCGTGCTCCCCTCCGTGGGCAGTCCGAGGCCGAGGCCGGGAGGGTGGGAGAGAGTCCTGGCCCTCGGGCCTCAGCGTTGACCCCTTGGCTGGGCCGGGGTCTGAGGGGTGGGCTGGGCAGGCTCACTCGCAGGCCGAGGCCACAGACGTGACGCTGGTGATCTTGGTCGAGTCGTCAGACCAGGGCTGCAGGTTCTGCAGGGCGAAGAGCGACGAGTTGTGAACGCAGAGCGGGTCGGCGGGCAGCGGCTGCGCCAGGCTCTTCTGGAAGGCCTCTTGCTGCAGCTGCAGGAGGATGCGGTTCGCCTGCTGCCTCTCGGCCTCGCGCTCCTCCGCGGTCTGCCGCCTGCACGGGGACAAGCTGTTACCCACGCTCCCGAGTTTCCCAGGGAGACCTGAGCGCGCATGGGCGCTGCTGCCTTGGCAGCACCCAGCTCCAGCGTGGGTCCCTCTACGCATCCCCTTATCTTGAAGATCCCGACTCCCACAAAGACTGGTAACCCCAAAAGTAGATGGAACCGAGCTGTAGCAGGGAAGCTGCGGGAAAGTCCGCTAGGAAAGGAGCTGGGGCTCCCTGTCCAGCGCAGCGCCCACACAACAGCCTGGAAGGGCTCAGCCAAGAATAAAATGGCATCTTGCCTGCCCCCCAACCCCCAGGAAGACCAGACACCCCCGTCCCAATCCTGAAGGGCCTCGCCTTCCCCACCAGTCCAGGAGGAGGCAAGGGCTGTGGATGCGAGCTGTCCTGCGCGACCTCTCTTCCCCCTTTTCTCTGCAAACGTGTCCCAGGCCTGGACCTCCTGCGCGGAGCCCTTGCCCTGTGCCTGCCGGGCCAGCCGGCTTCCTCCGCGGCGTCCAGGGAGGCGATGACTCACTCCATTTAATGCCTCCCCTCCACCCCGTCAACTGAGATCAAACGTCTGTCTCTAAGGTGGACAGACCTAATGGGAGTCCCCGGGGCCTCCAGAAGCAATTTGTAGGCGATCGATGAAGCCGCGCGAAGCCAGCGAGGGGCTCTCCGCGCGACGGACGCCGGCCGGCCTCCCGCGGCTTCTTCTTGCTTTTCACTCGGTGTCTCTGGCTCTCTCCTTCCCCTTCTTTCCTGCACTTTCAACTGTTCGACTGATTCTCTTCCTTCGGGCTTTTGTCTCTATCTCTTGTTTTCTTTCATCCCCGCCCCTGCCCCGTTGGCTTTCTCAAGATTAAGGGAATTTGTTTGAAACGAAAATGGAGGTTTTTCTCATCCATTGCTTTTCTTTTTCATACCTAAGTCTTCATTAGGCTGCCTGGTTTCCTTTTCTGCCTGGGTGGGGTCTCTAGCTTGCCCCCCCCCTTTGCGTTTTGGTTTCTCGGTTGCCTGTCACTCTTTATCTGTCCCCCACCTGGGGGAGGGTCTTCCCTGGCTCCCTCCCCTCCCCTAGCTACAGCCCTGAGTGCGCCCTGAGAACGCCGGTGTACCCCTCCCCAGCCAGCCTCGCTCCCTCTTCAGCTAGCTTTCCAGCGGTCTGAAGCTGATGCCCCTTCCCCTGCGGCAGGAATGTGGGGAGGGGTGGGGAGGGCAGCAGACTAGAGGGGCAGTGGCTTCCTTTGTGGCCACCACGGGCGGAATCCCGGGCAGATTCCTCGCCTTCATTCAGTAAAAGAGGAAACTCCAATTCCTTCCTCAGGCCCCAGGCCCGCCCGGCCCGGCGCCGCCGCCTTCGCCCAGACTCCTCCGCTCCCCCTGAGGCCTGAGCTAGCCAGAAACGCCTGGCAGGCGTGGAACCGAGTGTGCGGGCTAGATGTGCGGGCGGGAGGGTGCAGAGATGCAGGAGGGGGCGGCGGAGAAAGCGCTGGTGTGTGTGCGGAGAATAAGGCTGCCACGAAGTCAGTGGGACACAAGGAAGAGGGGGAGGGAGGGAGGAAGAGAGAGACAGAGAGGGACAGAGGTCGAGGTGCATGTATATAGGGGGAAAATTAGTATAGTGGATGTGTGATGTGAGAAGGGTAATCTCTCTCTCTCTCTCTCTCTCTCTCTCTCTCTCTCTCTCTCTCTCTCTCTCACACACACACACACACACACACACACACACACCCATCTGCTCCTAATTGATCTCGGGTTCTGTGGGACCATCAAAAATCCTGCCACAGCCGGCGCGGATTGATTTTCCCCTTCCAGAGTGGGGAACCCGCGGCGGGAGGAGGGAGTCCGCGGAGCCCAGGCGGAGGTCTGGGGCCCCAGACGCTCTGCAGGAAGCCCGGCTGGGGCGCAGAAACCGGGCGCAGGCCATCCTGCCTCCAGTCTCCGGGATCGAGGGGGTATCTCTGTAAGTGCACGTTTTCGCAAACAAAAGGCCCCGCGGGACTCACTGACCCAGACAACCTGGACTGCAGAGACCGCTCTAACCCGCTGCCTCCTCAAGCAGCGGCCGAGACCAGCCGCGCTTACAAAGGCATTGGGTTGCCGGCCAGAAAGCCAGGAAGCCTTCGATCAACAGAGCCAGGGCTCGCCAGCCTCATCTCGGTCAATCGCAGCGCCTGCCTCCCACTCCCCGAGAGCCTAGCAGGAGCTGCTGGCTCCTCCGAACACATCGGGAACCGGGAGCAGAGGGAGTGTGACGTCCCGAGAGGCCCGGAGCCTTGAGCAGCCGAGACCAGCCGCCCGCGCCGCGCCCGCCCCGCGCGCTCACCTCCACTTGGTCCGCCGGTTCTGGAACCAGGTTTTGACCTGAGCGTCAGTCATTTTGAGCGCCTTGGCCAGGGCGGCGCGCTCGGCGGAGGCCAGGTACTTCTGGCGGTGGAAGCGCTTCTCCAGCTCGCAGATCTGCAGGCGCGTGAAGGACGTGCGCGGCTTCTTCTTCTTGGGGGGCGTCCGGTTCTGATAGGGGTGACCTATACGGCGTGTTACAGTGAAGGGTGAGAGGGCCACTGGAGCGGGAGACAGACAGACGGCAGAGGCAAGCGGCAGAGTGTCAGGAGGTGTCCCAGGCCCGACACCCCGCGACTCAGCGAGCATAGCAGCTAGACCCCCAAATCAGAGCCGATCAGGGCCTCGATCCTCCCTTCAGCCCTCAGCTCCAAGCCGGGCCGGAAAGGGCCCCCTCCCGCCGCCAAGCTGCAGCCGCTGCTGCCACCACAGAGGCCTCCCCAGCCCTGGGCTTCCAAGTGCCCAACCAGACACTATACCACAGCCACCTCCCCAGTCTCCCTGAGGCGAGCAGAAGATGGCAGCCCCCCGCCCCCAGGGCTCCCCACAGCTTCCCACTGCCCCAGGCCTCCAGCCTCAGAGAAGCTGCCCAATAGTAAGAGGCCGGACCCTGCCTGGTCCTGACCTAAGCCTCCATCACACAGCGGTATACACAGACACATCACATACAACAGTGGCAAGTTACAGATCTACACATCCAAACAAGCCAGTACACAGGCACAGGCACTCAGGCAGACACGCACAGGACATGGCAACACAAGGCAGTCATATACTCTCTCCGAACCTTCCTTAGGCCTGAAGGACGAGGAGAGGCGCCGTGGCCCCCCTAGGCAGGCCTCTGTGAGGTACCTTTCAGCAGACCCAGGATTAGTGGGTTCCAGGTTGGGGCTTCCCTCAGAGTCCTTCCCTCATTCCAGCGCTGAGAGAACTTGGGTTGGGGCAGTGGAGCCCCTTGAGTACAGGGCCCTTCCTACAGCCCCAAAGTGGAGTGGCTGTTCTGCCTCTATGAATCTTCCCTCCCCTCAAAAAAACTTTTTGCCACAGACCTAGAGTCTGAGCCAAGGTTGGAACAGGAGCAGGGGGGCCTGGGGTGCCCTAGGGTCTCCTGGTCTAGGGTCTAGCTCTAAGCCGCCTACCCCCCTTTCACAGTTGGGCGCTGGAGCCCAAACCCCGCTGGAGTCCCGGCCTGTGCCTCCCTCCTCCTGCTCCAAAGGCCTGTCGGGAACCCAGACTCAACTCGTGGCTGCTTCGCTGCTTCCCAGCGGGCGTGGGGGCCTGGCTGGGCGGGAAGATAATACTCTCAGATCCAGGGGATGCCAAGGGAAGCGGGAAGTGAAGCCGGGGAAAGGGCCCGCGCGAGCCAGGGCTGAGCGCCGACTGCGGAAGCGGGAGCGCAGAGAGCCGGGACTAACGGAGGAAGGCGGGGAGCAGGCAGCGGAGAGGACGGCAGCCGGCGCCGCCGAAAGCGCAATCGTCCCGGGAGTAGTCCTTTGGCGGCCAATCGATCCTGGGCCTGGCCGGTGCATTATTTACGCCGGAGGGCCAGGGGTAGGAGATGGAGAAGGCCGAGCCCGGACAAAGCCAGGAGTAGGAGGTGGGGGAGAAGGCCGAGCCCGGACAGAACAAAAATGAAGCGGGCGGCTCAGCCTCACGCTGCCACCGACCTGGGCGAAGCCCGCAGTTCGGGAAGAAAGGCCCGCCAGCTCTGCCGCTGTACTCGGACTCGTGGCCTCTGCTGGCCCGCAGCGCAGCAGACACTGGGACTTGGAGTGTGTGTGTGTGTGTGTGTGTGTGTGTGTGTGTGGCTGGGGGGTGCGGGGTGGGGGGCGGAGGTGGGGAACCTGTTCTTTCCTTGCGTCTGGTTCTGGGGCTCACCGCCTCCCAAGAGAATGTCGGCCGGGACTGAAGAAACAGTTTGTTCACATCGCACCCCTTCTCTGAGATTCCGGGCCCCAAGTGAGGGCGGAATGTGTCCCGAAGCTACATTCCTCTTCCCTCCCTCTGACCGGGCCCAGGACTCCGCGAGGGGACTCTGGGAGCGCTTCTCAGGGCAGGGGTCCTGCGGGAGAGACGCAGCGGGCCCAGGCCGGGAGCTGGCGATTCCTCGAGCATAGAAAGGTGGCAGGCGGCTAAACGTGCGGGAAGCACCAAGAGTTGCTGAGCGACCGACCGGCAGGCACAGGGGGCTGCAGGGAGCCATGAGGGGGAAGGGAGAGCGCAGAGCCCGGGCCGCGGCCAGGCCGGGCGCGCGCGGGCCCCGGACTCACCTGTGAACCTGTCCTTTGTGTATCTGCGGTTACTCTCCATCCAGGGGAAGGTGAGGCCGGTGAGGTTGTTGACACCCGGCACGGCGGGCACGGAGGGCACCGTGGGCAAGCCAGTAGCCAGAGGCTGGGGGTGGGCCACCGCTCCAGCTAGTGGTCTGTGCGCGGGCACTCGAATCACTCCCGCAGCGCTCAGCGCCCCTCCGCCACCGCCGCCGCCGCCTCCCGGGGCCGGGCCGCCCGCCAAGGCCATGTTCACGTTGTAGGAGCCGGCCAGAGGGCCCATGCTGCAGGCACCGCCCCCGCCGCCCGCCGGGCCACCAGGACCGCTGGGGCCGCCTGCGCCGTAGGCCCCCGCGTTCCCGGCCGCCGCCCCGGCCACCGGTCCCCCGCCGCCGTAAGCGTAGGCGCCTCCGACCAAACAGCCAAGGCCGTATTCTCCGTCCTGGAGGCGTGAGTTTGGCCCCATGCAGCCGCCCTGGTCCGGGCTGTTGAGGATCTGGTCGATGCCGAAGCTGATGGGCTCCGCGTGGCCCGGGTGGAGATGGTGCGGACCCAGGTGCTCCATGCCGACCCCCGCCCCGGCCCCGCGGGGGGGGGCCTGGGCGGCGGGGCTCGCTGTTTTTTCTCTCTGGGTGCAGCGCGCAGGGGCGCGAAAGCAGGAGCGCTTCCTGGCTGCGCCGAGACTTGGAGGCGAAGTACGCAGAAGGGCTAAAGTAGGGGGGAGGGGAAGGAGAGGGGGCGCCGTGTTCTACTCCTCTCCGGCTGCTCCTTCCCCTCTCCGGCTGCTTGCTCGCTGTTGACTCTGGGACATCAATCACCGGGCGAAAAAGCCCGGTGCGAGGGAGCCTAGCCGTTCCGACCCGGTCTCTCCATTGGCTGTGAGCAGAGAGAAGCGGGGTGAATGACAGCGCGGGGGAGGGGCGGAGACGGGGAGAGGGAGGCCGGGAGCCGAGACAGATGCCGGAGCCAGAGACAGAAGGACGGAGACTGAGGCGCAGAGAAGTAGTTCAGGAAGAGGGGAAACCGAGACTTAAAAGGAGAAAGAGAAAGAGCAGGAGGTGGCCATTCCCAGAGACTCACAGACAGGCGGAGCCCAGGAGGTGGAGGTCAGAGCCCTCTTCCCCGCCAGGCAGGAGCCGCCCCCTAAATTTGAATTGGGCCAAAGGGGTCCAGGCCACAGGCCTCTGGGGAGGAGGCGTCCCTTGGCTACTGGAGAATCTTCCCAAGGGCTCAGCTGGGAAACACCTGTCCATCAACCAGAGTATTTACACCAAACGTCAAGCCCAGCTCGTTAGACAGTAGAAGACTGTCTACTCCCAGGTATGGAGCCCAGGTCAGGGAAAGTGAGTTCCGGCTGGGCCTTCTTTGAAACAGGGGCCTATATGTTGAAAAAAAATCAACCACCACCCAACTGAGCCTGTTTAAGGAAACTGAGGAAGAGAAGACTTCCTGAAAGGCAAGCACAGCCAAGGGAGTTCGCTTGAGGCCTGTTGCCATGGTGCCTATGCTTCAAGATACCCCTTTCCTTTAAAATAAACAGATGTCTCAGGAAGCAGTTCCCACAGTATGTGAACGAATTCAATCGGATTGTTTCACCTAGCAACTAGGCCAGGAGTGGCAATGTCAAGCAAGAAACCTTCAGACTGTGGTAAGGGGGAGGGGTTATTTTCTTACTTTTGGAATCTAGGGTCTTAAGGCAGTGGGGGCCTGGGGATGGTGGGACTAAGATGAGGGAAGTGCATCCAGGACCAATTTAGGCCTTTTCAAAGTTTTGCCTGTGGCTGACTGGCTTAGAGCCCAGGAGAGGAGGAAACTCCCTTTTCTGCTTCCCCTTTCCCCTCTCCAGGAGGGAAATGTTTGATCCCTCCCAGAAGCCAAAATTGGGAAAGGCATAGGTTGGATAACTTGGGATCTATTTCTGGTCTAGTCTAGATTCAACAGGCCTTCAGAGAGGAGTGTCTCTATCGGGCAAGGTGCTAGAATGTGAAGGCACACATTCTACTTTAGCAAGTCTTATTGCAATGTAATGTTTGCTTTGGCCTATGACTTCCACTTGAAGAGGTCTCCTTGGAGGCAAAAAATGGCTTACTTATCTCTGTTCTCCCCCCCTCCTGCCCCCCCCCCCGTGAAGTATAGCCCCAACCCACAAAATATATTCATTTTGAGTGAATAATGAATGAATTAACCTCCTTATTCAACAAATTTTTTAAGCACCTACTATGTGTCAGGTATGGTTCTTGGCGCTGAGAAAAGAGCAGTGAACAAAACAACGTTTCTGCCCTCATGGAGCTTGCATTCCATAGAGGAGATGTAAAGAAGCAAATACAATAAGCCAGAGGATGATGAGTGTTACGGAGAACACTGTAAACTCTACACTAACTCTTTGAGATGAGTATTAACCCTATTTTACAGACGCAAAGAAACCAAATCTCAGAGAGGCTAAGTGAGGTGATAAGATGGAGGAGCTGGATTCTACTTGCTTTCATGGGTTACCCTGGAACCCTGGCTGCTGGTTGGAACAGCGTCTCTAAAAGGAACACCTTGTCTAGGCTCCAGGCAAGTGGACAGGGGTCCACGAATATAAAGCCAGATGTGGTTGTTTTCAACACTAAACAGACACCTGAGGAGAGAGTCCCACTCCCTTAACAGCTCTCTCCTCTCCACCCACCCCAATTCAAACAGGAGGTTCCATAACTTTCTTGGGAAGTTGTTTGAACCTGAATGTGTCTCTTTCCTGCTTCTGATGTTGAAAGAACTGAAAAAGAAATAGATAAAAGTGTTTTACTGAGCAACTACTATGTGCCAGGCACCACACCACACTGATCTCATTTAAGACTCACACAACCCTGTGAAGTTAATAGAAACATCTCCATTTTAAAATTATTAAGAAAAAAATGAATCTTCATAAGAGTATTTTTCATAATGAATAGTATTATTCATAAAGCAATTTTGATGAATAGATAAATAAAATGAGGTATCTCTGTACAAATGACTTTATATTCAGCCATAAAAAGGAATAAAAAGGACATCCTGGTTCATGGTACAACATGGAAGAACCTAGAAAACATTATGCTAAGTGAAGGAAGCCAGGCACAAAAGGCCACATATTATATAATTTTATTTATATGAATCATCCAGAATAGGCAAATCTATAGAGACAGAAAGTAAATTAGTGGTTTCCAGGAGCTGGAGGGGGAGGGGGGGGGAGGGAGTTGACTACAAGTAGATAAAAAGTTTCTATTTACAGTGATGAAAATATTCTGGAGTTAGATGGTTATGGTTGCACAACTTGTGAATATACTAAAAACCACTGAGTTGTACAATTTAAAGGGTTGAAATTATGTTACATGAATTATATCTCATTTTAAGAAAAACAAAAACTGAGACTCAGTGAGAAGAATGAAGTTGCCCAGAGCCACACAGACAGAAGAGGATTGAGCTGGGGTCCTAAGCTCTGAACGCCTTTCCTGCAGAGGCTGAAACTATGGGGAGAGACCCTTCAGCATCCTTTGAGATTGGGTCCCCATTGCTTTGCTCTGTCTTTCTCCTTTTAGTCAAGAAGTCACATTGTGTCTAACAACAGTTCTGCCTGCTGCAATTAAAACCCTGTCTTTCTAGGTTATCCTCAAGACTTCTCTTTGCCACCTCTAGCCCATGCTAGAAACCCCTTGAGTGTTCCTAACACTCTCCCCCTCCTAATGCACCTTTCCAGCCCCCATGGCTTTCCAATCCTGCCTGATCCAACCCTTTGGGCATCTGCTTCACTCACCTCTTAAACGCCTCACTTCTGTCACCGGTTGTCCAGGGTAGCTGGGAGGAGACCTCATCCTTTCTGGCCTAGTCTAAGTTTGGCAGAAGTCCCCGCTGCCTAGGGGTCCACTAAGACTGTCAGGATGCTCTTCTCACCAAATTCAACAGCCCAGGGACATCCTGCCTTTCCCTGCCTCACCGCTACCTGGCTGACTGATTTCTTTGGAATTTCCCACCCACCTCTCCTGCTATTCAGAGTCAACTTTTCTCCCAACCTAGTTCTGAGCTGCTGGCCTCCCCCCAGCTGGGGTTCTTTGAGTCCAGCTTGACCTCGGCCTTTGTCTTCCAATGGGATAATGGCTGAGGGCAGGGTGACCCTCTCTGTCCCTTCTCTGCTAGGAAGATGAAACAAGAGTGCCAGGATTTGTTGGCTTCTGGCCCCTGCCATTCCCTGAAGCAGTTTCTTGAGCACAGTGGTGCAGGTTAGGAAGTTTTCTGAAATGGAGGAGGAGACTCAGCGCTTATCTTCTTCGGTGTGGCTTGCGGCTTGCAGTAGCCCTGCTAGGAAAGAGGAGGGAGGAAAAGGAGGCAGCACTGACAAAGAACCGGTGGTGTCCTCGGTTCCTTCTCATCCCATCCTCCAGATGTCCTGTGATGCGGCTTTTGTTGTCTCCATTTTACAGATGAAAAGACCAAGGCACTGAAAACTGAACAGGGACAGAATTGGGCTCAAATGCTGTTTTTCTGATTCCATTCATTACAAGCTGCTTCCTTAGCACCAAACCTGGCGGATGTGGGCCTTGCCTTGCAGGAGTATTGTTGCACACATCTAGGTGAGTTCCAGCCCTGAGGCCACCTGGTAACAACCCCCCTTCCAGCACCAACCCTCCCAGGCGCCCCCACCCCCTCGCCTGCAGAATAAAGAAGTGCTTCCAATTAAAAGAGGAGCAGCTGAGGCTGAGGCTGGAGAGTGGGGGTGGGGGGAGAAAAGGGAGGGCTCAGCCACAGGGGAAGCCCCTTTGGATCCCTCATTGCTTCCTTCCCCCTCTGGGAGAGACCCCTGAGCCAGGGGTTGTCCTATAGCTTAAGGGTGTGTATGGTAACTTAATTACTTTGTGTGTGGGGGACTGTGTGTCCATGAAGGGAAGCTGGATGTGCATGACAGTGAGGGTAGTGTGTTTGTCTTTAAGGAATAACTTTAAAAATTTACCCAAATATGTACCAAGTGTCCATTATGTAATTGTGTTAGGCTGTTGGGACACAACTGCAAACAAGAGGCATGTCTATTGGTAAGATTGGGAGTGGGGGGAATCTGTTTTACAACTGGATTTGCTTGTGTGAAGGATGTGTGTGTGTCAGCGAGAATGTGAGTGGATGTGTGTTTTCTGTAACGGGATGATTGTGTGTCTCTACAGCTATTCCTCTGTAATGGGCCCATACATGATGGTGTGAGGCTGTCCCTTGGCCTGTGTGTGAAAGTGTGAATGTAATAATAATGTGTGTTGCTGGTGGTATGTGTGTATCTGGGGGGAGGGGCGTCCTATTTTCTAGTGCAGTTGTCAGGGAAATGGCCATATGTGGACGTGTGGGTGTGGGAAGAGAGTGACAGGGTATGCCCAATAGGCATTTAGCAGGAAAGGCATAGAACAGGCTGAGAAATATGTAAGGGGATGTGTAAAATGAAGCAGTCCATGGTGGGACCATTGAGGTCTGGATTCTCAGTACCAAACATGCCCCTTCTGCCTTGCTCACCTGCCTCCATAAAGAGGTAGGAAATTTCTCCTTCCACGAAAGAGGCATGCACAGCTGTGACTTAGGGCCTTAGAGACCCAGTAAAGGGGACCCTACCTACCCAGAGCCCTGGGGTGGGAGTGCTTGCCTCTAGGAGCCTATGTTGGTGAAGGAGAAGTGAGCAGGCTGGTTCCAGGCACACAACTAAATGATTCTTCAGCCCCAGGTGCCCCCACTCAATTCATACAGTAACAGGAGCCAGGGACCCCTCCAACAGCAAGACAGGCACATAGGTCCCATCAGTGCAGCGACCCTGAGTGCGTAGAAGATGGAGAGACAGGGGACAGAGCCAATCTGATGTAGGATATACCTAAGTGTCACCTGGTGTAGGGGCCAGCACCTTTCTCCTCCTCCCACCCCCACCCCAAAGCCTGCTAGGGCAACGGGGTCCTTATGGCTGTTCCTCCCTCACTAAGGCTTCCCCTCTTAGCTTCTGTTGGCCCGCCACCCCTGGGCACCCAGCTAGGGCCACAGGCCTTTCTTTCTCTGACCAACTCCCTCCCATGGGAAGACCAGAGGCCCCCAGTTCCTCCATCCAGCATGGGTGCCCCTGACCCAGCATGTCTCCCATGCTGGTCTCTGCTCAGGTTTCCAAAACCAGGAAAGGGTAGGACATGGGGTGAGCGG